CAAAAGATTATACACCACGATTAAGAGGGATTTATTCTTGTATGCAAGGAGGGTTCAATAAAGATAAGACAGGTGATATACTACATTAATAGGAAGAAAGATGAAAATCAACCATATGATCATCTCTATAGATACAGAAAAAGTATTTCATAAAACTCAACATCCTTCATGAGAAAAACTCAATAAATTAGATACAGAAGAAATGTAGCTCAACATAATAAAATCCCTATTTGTTGAGCCCACAGCTAACATCATACTCAATAATGATAGGCTGGAAGGTCTCTAACATCAGGAACAAGACAAGGGTGCCCACTATCATCATTCCTGTTCAGGATCATAGTGGAAGTCCTGGACCAGTGGAAGACCAGACCAATTGGCCAAGAAAAAGAAATAATAGGCATCCAAATCAGAAAGAGGAAATTAAAATTGTTTGTAGATATGATCTTATATACAGATATTCCTAGACTCCACCAAAAACCTATTAGAATTAATAACCAATTGCAGTAAAGTTTCAGGATACAAAACCAATATATAGAAATCAGTTATGTTGCTATAGACTAACAACAAAACATCTGAAAAGAAACTTTTTTTTTAAAAGTCCCATTTACGTGGCTGGGTTATGGACATTGGGAAGGGTATGTGCTATGGTGAGTGCTGTCAAGGGTGTAAGCCTGATGATTCACAGACCTGTACCCCTGGGGCAATAATACATTATACGTTAATAAAAAATTTTTTAAAAAGGAAAAAAAGTCCCATTTACAATAGCATCAAAAACAATAAAATTCATAGGAATAAATTTAACCAGGGACGTGAAAGATAATCATGATAGAAAGAAAACAAATGGAAAAATACCTGTGTTCACAGAGCAGAAGAATTAATATTGTTAATATGTCCACACTACCTAAAATCAATGCAATCACTATCAAAATTCCAATGACATTTTCACATAGAAAAAAAAAATCCTAGAATTTGTATAGAACCATAAAAAGATGCCAAATATCCAACACAATACTGAGAAAGAAGAACAAACCTGGAAGCACAAAATTCCCTGAATTCAAAGTATATTACAAAGTAATCAAAACAATGGTACTGTCAGAAATAGACCAATGCAATAGAATTGCAAGCCCAGAAATAAACTCACACAAGTACTGTCAACAAGTATTTGACACTACATCTGTATCTTTGGTATTTACCAGTACCCCAAAGATACAGATGTAGTGAAACAAAGGGGCACGTGCACCCCAGTGTTCACAGCAGCAATGTCCACAATAGCCAAACTATGGAAGGAGCCCAAGATGCCCTTCAAGAGATGAATGGATACAATGGAATGTATTGTACAATGGAATACTACTCAACCATTAGGAAGGACAAATACCCACCATTTGCATCGACATGGATGGAACTGGAAGGGATTACGCTAAGTGAAATAAGTCAAGCAGAGAAACAAAATTATCATATGGTTTCACTTATTTGTGGAACATAAGGAAGAGCATGGAGGACCACAGGGGAAGGGAGGGAAAACTGAACGGTAAGAAATCAGAGAGGGAGACAAACCATGAGAGACTCTGCACTCCAGGAAAAAAACTGAGGGTTACAGAAGGGAGGGAGTAGGGGCGTGGGGTAACTGGGTGTTGGGTATTAAGGGCTTGTGTGGCAATGACCACTGGGCGTTATATGCAACTAATGAATGCTTGAACACTACATCAAACACTAATGATGTTATTACTACATGCTGGCTAACTGAACAAAATAAAAAATAAATAAATTCCAAAATGGCAAAACAACAAGTATTTGACAAGGGAATAAAGAATACTCTATGAGGAAAGCATAGTCTTTTTGATAAAAAGTGCTGAGAAAAGTAGATCTTCAGATGCAAGAGAATGAAAATGAACATGTAACTTATGCCAATCACAAAAGTTAATTCAAAATGGATTAAAGGCTTAAACATCTGAAAAAAGCTCATTGACACTGGTCTTGACAATATTTTGAATATGACACCAAAAGCAAAAGTAAACAAATGGGACTGTATTACACTATAAAGCTTTTGCAAAGCAATGGTAACCATCAACAAAATGAAAAGGTAACTTAAAGAATAAGAGAAAATAATCTGCAAATCATATGTTGGAAAAGGAGTCCAAATATGTAGAAAACTCAAAGAACTCAAGAAAAAAAAATCCAATTAAAAAGTGGGCACAAAACCTGTATGGGCATTTTCCCAAAAAAGACCTAAAAATAGCCAACAGGTACATAAAAAAATGGTCAAAAATTACCAATCATCAAGGAATTGGAAATCAAAATCACAATGAAGTAACACCTAATACCTAGTAGAATGATTATCAAAAAGATAAGATGTTACAGTTGTTGGCAAGGATATAGAAAAAGGAATACTTATGCACTGTTGGTGAGAGGGTAAAAGGTATAGCCACTATGGAAAACAGCACAGATTTTCCTTAAAAAATTAAAAATATAACTAGCATATGATCCAGCAATCCCACTTCTGGGTATGTATCTGAAAGTCATATTTCTATCCTAAAGAGAGATCTGTACCTCCATATTCATTGCATCATTATTCATAATAGTCAAGACATAGAAACCACTTAAGTGTTCATTGGCAGATGGATATGTGTGTGTGTGTGTGTGTGTGTGTGTGTACATATATATGTATATATACATGTATCTCCGTTGTGTGTGTATGTGATACATATATACACACACATATTTCAGCCTTTAAAAAAAAATCATGCCATTTGCAACAACATGGATGGACCCAGATAGCATAATGCCAAGTAAAATAAGTTAGACAAAGAAAGGCTAATACTTTATGATCTCCTTTATATGCAGAATCTTAAAGGGAGAATAGAATGGTGATTTCCGGAGTCTATAAGGTGGGGAAAACAGGGAGATATTGGTCAAAGGGTACAAATTTCCATTTATAAAATGTGTAAGTTCTAGGGTTATTGTTTATAGCAGTGTGACTAGAGTTAAAAATACTATATTATATACTTGGAAATTCCTGAGAGTAATCTTAAATGTTCTCATCACACACACAGAGGTAATTTATATGAGGTGATAAAGGTATTAACTAACCTTATTATGTTATCATTTTGCAATATATACAGGTATCAAATCATCACACTGTATACCCTCAACTTTCACACAATGTTGTATGTCAGTTATTCCTCAGTAAAGCTGGGATGGGGTGGGGTTTCCTTTCTTTATAGATAGCAAAGAAACAAACAAAAAGCTACGTTTCTAGATTTATACATTGTTTTACTCAGCAGTGTGGGTTCTCAATGCAGCAGTTCTCCGAAAGGGTACTTATTTGTGTTACATGATTAACCAGGCCACCTTCTCCTTTTTTTCAGTTGTACACCCTTATTTTACAACATTGATATCCTGGTCTCCACAGAAGACCCCACAAGGGCCTTTCATATCCTTCAAGCTCTTAACCTCTATCCAGTGTCTCAAATTGAGGAGGGATCAGAATGGCTATTCGAAAGCCAGCAGTGGAAGGCCTCTTTCTCTGTTTTTTTTTATCCCCAGGTGCAGAACATGGACTTTTGCCTACAAGTACTGCAATCAATCAATAAATTACCAACCATAAAATGGAGGCTCCTGAGTTCAGTATTTTAACAGGACCCTGTCACTTTGCCTTAGGTGGCTCACAGGATATATGCCAGTATACAGAAGAGAAACTTTTACTGGACCACAAGAACATCTATGCCAGATCTGAGTTCACTACCATAGAATTTGCATGTGCCTTTTTGCCCTTTGTCTGTGCTCTTTGGTCAAGCATCACAACAAATCTTCTGCCCATTTTCTGAATTATTAAACAGTAAAATTGACTTTTTAATTCTTTTGGTGAATAGTTTTATTAATTTTGTCATGGTGAGGAAGGTTCTGCTTTAAGAGTTTGGCTCCTACAGTTTCCACTGCCAACTGTTTTCATTGTCTCTATTGTTCTACCACGGGATCGCCTGAGGAACTGGGGTACAAGAAAAGAGAAAACAAAAAACACAAGAATCTCTTCTACTGTCCTTGAGCCTGAACTAGAGGTATCTCCTAGATACCTCTCTGTCTGCTCCAAATTGCCCAAACTCAAGTCAAAGAAAACCAAAATAGAAGATGTAGAAGGCTGATAATTTTTTATCTGCTAATTAAATGTCATCTTGAATGTGGGTTTTCTTACCTGATCTGCTGGCTGACCTTTACTTTTTAGAAACACCAAATACCTGAGCAGCTTTGCACTGACTCCAGGTTTATAGTTCTATTAGCAGGAGAGAAAGGCTAGTATGTACATATGCCATCTTACCTATAAATACATTGTCTGTTTTTTTAAAACCATGATTCCTATCTTCTTGGTAGCAATAATTCTTCACATATTCTAGATATATGCCCCATAAGCATGTATTTTCCAAATATTTTCTCTGAGTCTATGGATTCTTTTGAAGAGCAAATTTTCTTTTTTTTTCCTAAAGATTTTATTTATTTGACAGAGAGAGATCACAAGTAGGCAGAGAGGCAGGCAGAGAGAGAGAGAGAGAGGGAAGCAGGCTCCCTGCTGAGCAGAGAGCCCGATGCGGGGCTCGATCCCAGGACCCTGAGATCATGACCTGAGCTGAAGGCAGAGGCTTTAACCCACTGAGCCACCCAGGCACCCCTGAAGAGCAAATATTTTAATCTTAAGTCCAATTTATTATTTTTTTCTTCCATGGTTTATGCTTTTTGTGTTATACAGATTTTGTATTCCTCTGGAAGATTTATAATTTTAGTCTTACACATGGAACCATAATCCATTCTGAATAACTTTTATATGTGGTGTGGGCTAAGGGTTTTGGTTCATTATTTACATGAGGATATTTGACTGTTCCAGCACAATTTGCTGAAGCCTACTCTTTTCTCACTGAATTACTCTGACACCTTTGTTGAAAATCAGCAACCATACAACTTACACTATTTACAAAGAAACAAGGAGGAAAAAGTATACTGTAATAACATACCAGAGATACCATGGCCCAGCCAGTCTTGTTATAGATGAATTCCAAGTTGTTCCTTCTTAAATAGAGCAAACCGCCAACGAGTGACACTAACAGGGCCAAAGCTATGGTGCCAGAATAGTTGGGTGGTCTGAAGACTCGAATCTGCAAACATGAAATGAAAATTTTTAGAGCTGAATAAAGTAAACTGTTCTTTCTCTTGACCATATTCTAGTCCTTCCAATTTTCAATTCCAAAACCTCAGAAAGGTGACACCCTACTTTTCATTTGTGGAACTAACTCCTTTTATTCTTTACAAATCAAAAACATATGGCTTCCAACATTATGGCTATGTAAAAAGAACTGCTTTAGGTAACCAATTAATATACACACACATTACCTATATTTAACCCACAACTGCTGTGTTTCACCTATGAAACATGGGGTCATCTAGTAGAGGGGGAAGAAATGGGAGTATAATTTATTTATTATTCCAAATTGGGACATTTTAACATCTTTAACATTTTTTAACATCTTTACCAACATATAATACATATACCATACAATTCACCTGGTGTACAATTCAATAGTTTTTAGTATATTCAGGGGGTTGTGTAACTGTCACCAAAGTCAGCATCAGAACATTCCAATCACATCAAAAGAAAACCCTTCAGCAATCCCCCTGGTACACCCCTCACCCTACAACACTAAAAGGCCATGAATCTACTCTTGTCTATACAGATTACTCTTTTACTAAACTTTTCATATAATATGTGGTCTTCTGTAACTGGCTTCTTCCACTTAGCATGATGTTTTCAACGTTCTTCTTGTTGCATGTTTCAGTACTTCATTCCTTTTTATGGCTGAACATTCCTTTGTACAGAAATACCACAATTTGATACCAATTATCAGTTGATAGGCATTTGGGTGTTTTCCACCTTGTGGCTATTACAAATAATGCTGCTATAACTATTCTGGTACAAGAATTTGTGTGGGTACGCATTCTCATTTATCCTGGGTATATACCTAAGAGTAGAATTGCTGGGTTATATAGTAATGCCATGTTTCCTGGTTTGAGTAATTGTCTGACTGTTTTCCAAAGTGGCTGTACCATTTAACATTCCCACTGGTAGTGTATGAGAATTCTGATTTCTCCACTTCCTTGCCAATATTTTCTCTCATTCACTGATTCCAGCCAACCTAAATGGGTATGGGATACTAACTCACTGTAGGTTTTATTTGCATGTTCCTAATGACTAATGATGCTGAGCATCTTTTCATTTACTTATTAACCACTTGTATATTTTCCTTATACAAATGTCTATTCAGATTATTTGTTTTTTAATTGCATTGTCTTTTTATTATTGAGTTGTAAAATTCCTATATACATACTAGATATAAGTCCTTTGTCAAAAAATGATTTGTAACTATTTTCTCCCCTTCTGTCGGTTGTCTTTTCATTTTCTTGATGGTGTCCACTAAAACATAAAAGCTATTTTTAAAAAGTAGATGGCATTGTTATGAAATCATGATTTCAAAGTATATACAGATCTTGGTTCTAATAGTATTTCTCACTGAAAGAAACCAAGGCTCTGAGAACAGATGTATAATTGAGTGCTACACAGGGCAGATTAGGTAGATAAGCCTGAAATATGTCAGGAAAGTAAGAAAATGCTCAAAAGAAAATAACAGAGAGCAGGGCACCTGGGTGGCTCAGTGGGTTAAGCCTCTGCCTTCGGCTCAGGTCATGGTCTCAGGGTCCTGGGATCAAGCCCCGCATCGGGCTCTCTGCTCAGCTGGGAGCCTGCTTCCCCCTCTCTCTCTGCCTGCCTCTCTGCCTATTTGCGATTTCTCACTCTGACAAATAAATAAAATCTTTAAAAAAAAAAAAATGACAGAGAGATGTCACACCGACATGAGCCAGCATAAAGAAGATTCTGCTAGTCAAATCTAGAACAATTTTAGTACCAAAATATTTAAAGTATAGTAGTAACTTACTAACCACTAGAGAAAAAAATGCAACTCATGAGTCCCTACCAATGACTGATAGGTAGGAGAGGAGAATTCTTGCTCACAGTAAAATGCCGAAGGCTAAGTAGAAATATGGAGGGAGGAGAAGTGGAACATCATCATTTTGCAACCATTTAGGTAAAATCTGGATCAAAGAAAAATCACCAATGGATGTTAGATCTAAGTAAGAATTTTGATGAGGAGTATGATATTTCTCTGATCTTAAGGTGTTTCCACACAGACAGCTTACTAATTATAAGGCGGGGCAGTAATTATACAGCAGAGAAATGGAAAACACCATGACCAGATAATCGAAATTAAAGATCATCAATGAGAGTCAAGACAGATATCATGACCAAAACATGACCTATGTAGTACTATGTTTAAGAAAGTGTAAATAGAATCTAATCAGAAAAAAAAAAATCAGAAAAAAATAAATACCAGGCAAATAAAATGAGGATCATTCTATTTAAAAAGTGAAAAAGGATTCAAGATGTCAATGCATTTAAATGACAAAGATGGGCTATGGAAATATTCCAGATTAAAAGATGCTAAAAAAAACCTGATGACTAAATCCAATGACTAACTCTAGAATGGATCTTGTACTGGAGGCATGAAAATGCTATTAAAGGGTATTTTTAGGTCAACTGACAAAATAGAATATGGATAGTAGCTCAAATAAAAATATTACATCAGTGTAAATCTGTGAAGGTGATATCCGTACTGTTCTTATGTATGTCTCAGGAAATGCAGTTCACCTTCTGAAAAGAAATATATGTGCATCTATGAAGTATATATATAGATAGGAGTGGGGGAGAATAAAGTGGTAAAGCAAAAGGGGTAAAATGTTAAGTGTATAGGTGAATTTGATAAAGGTACACATTGGTACTATTTGCATTATTTTCATGTGTGAAAAAGGTTGAAATTATTTCCAAGTATTTCTTAACAAAAGCATATTTATCATATAACTTAAAGTGTAGATATGATCAACAGATTAGAATCATATCTGATGAAAATTCAGTAACTCTTATAAAGAATTAATAGTACTTTCTCAATGTTACACTTAGTATCTTGTATGAACTAAATGATACCACTGCAGAACTGAATATTTGCCAAAAGATTACAGAAAAAGAATGACAAGAGTTAACAATGACGTCAAACACCCATCTTGACTAAGAATAAATATGTTTACACCTTATGGTAAAAACCGCATATTCTAGAACAAATGTACTTTAAAATTACTGGTTATAATTGTTCACTATAGAAAATTCTGGTGAGATAAAGGAATAAAGCAGCCTTAAGCCCTCCCCATAGACATTAACTACCATCAAGATTTTTGCTTGTTTACTTCCTGAATAAACTCTCTACATATCTACATTATATTTATGCTTTAAAACAAAATTCTAGATCGTACTATAAAGGCTATTTTTCTAACCTTGAGCTGCTTTCTATGTCAAATATACCTGCAGACCATTTTTGGCCATGCTATATAGTACATTTAAGTAGTCTCCTATTTTTAGACATTTCACTTATTTCCAATTGTTTTCCATTTACAATGAATGTTATTTAAAAAAATATTTCTATTTATATTTCTATTGAATCATCCCTAATTATATCCTTAGGTTAAATTTCTAGAAGTAGAATTAGTTAAGTTACATAAAATAAAGACATTACACACACTTAGAATTAAGTTATTCCATAGTTCAAAGAACAGTATACATATTTTCTCACATGGTTCATGAAAAGTAGTATATCATTTGTATTTGCCCAAAAGCTAAATAAAAAGTACACTTTTTAATTAGAATTTCTTTACTAATACCTCTGAATAATATTCCATATATATTTCAGTCTCTGAAATTACTTTTTGCCAACTTGTGAACTTTTTAATGGTTCTTAAAATACCAATATACCATTATTCTAAAAACCATTTAAATTCACCTAATTCAGTCAAAATTCAGCTTATGCTACCACATGGTTTTCTCTAAACAAGGAAAAATATTCTATAGAGTAATTTTAAGAATCCTTTGGCCTTACTACAGTGCTGTAACAAACCAAACTATTTAGTCTATTATTAAAACTGTAGGGAATAAAAACATACATGAACATCCGTTCTGTCAGCAATCCACTTTGCTAGTTGTTCAGCAGCAAATCCAATCCTTTGAAGGTCAAAAGTATCAGCTCTTTTTGGTCTGCCTTTTGGAGGAAAATGCATGAATGTAGGAGCAGAATTCATGTTGAGCTGTAAAACATAAAAAATACTAAATGTAATATTGCAGCAATCTTTATATCTCATTAATCTAACATTTTATGTTTTTTTCTGCATGAATTTTAAAAAGATAGAATTTATTATGAAAATTCAAGTGGCTTTCCAGAGCTTAATTATTGTGTTTATTCATTGTAATATACTACTGACTGAAAAAAAACTTGTGAGTTTGACTAAGTTCTTGAAACCTTCACATATAATGTACTATTTCACATAAGCAGTTATTAAAGAAAAAGTACTGGCACTTGTTGAAAAATATAAATGCTTAAGAACATTAATGTCAAATTATTAAATTCTCTATTAAAAATTTAAAGACTTCTTAAAAATGATGATTTTATCAGAAACCAACATTTTTTGTTCTAAACAACCTGAATTTACCAGATTACAGGAGAAATCCACAATGATAATCTCTTTCTGCTCAATTGCTCTATTAATTCAAGTGTCTTACAATGATCATATCTCACAACTATTTTCTATAGGTAGTTCCATTTGAAGAGTGTACTGAATAGAATGCTACTTTGATATAAATGGTGCCTATTAAGAATACCTAAAACAAGTGTTAGCTTAATTTGCACTGAGTAGCAAACTATAAAAATTATATAAATTAAATTCTCACTGCTAAGGAATTATGAAAAATGCCTCAAATAAAAGGGCAATAGATTTTAGGCCTTGACATGCAGTATAGCTCAGCATTTCACAATACTGAGAATGAAAAGTGAAATCAAAGCAAAAACTGTCACCACAGCTGACACCAAAGTAAAGATACAGCTGTACCGACGACAGTGGGCTTGCATGTTATGGACATTAGTAAGGCTAGTTAAAGAGAACAAAACACACAGTCACCAGTTGCCTTCTTGTCTGTGCTTTTTCCATTGCCAGATTTTGTTACTGTGTGTTTCCATGATGGGTGCACAAGAGATAGCTAGAGCCAACATGTAAATAATATATTACAATTAAAAACTCTCTGCATTGGAACAAATTCCTAAGGTTTAAGATCTAAAAATCTTAGAGTTAAAAAATAATCTTATTCAAAGCTTTGATCTTCATTAAAATGTACAAATTCCCCAAGACTATACACAAAGCAGGGTACAATACAGATCTTATTGCTAGTCCATACCTGCTTCTAACACACCACAATCATTAACTGGTCGGTCTGTTATCATTCACTGGTCGGTCTGTTATCATTCACTTAGCCTCAACCATTACATGGGAATCACATATAATTGAAGTTACTTTCCCAACAAGCCCCCAGTAAGTTTTAGCATTCCTGTTAATATTATCTTCGGAAAGCACAATGTTTTAAAATGTCAATTCAGAAAGAGCTCTTCAACAAAATGTAGTTCCATAGTTAGTGAGAAAAGAAACCTAGCATTAAAAATCTTTTAGTTCTCAATAAAGCAAAATATGTACCTTCCCTATTTTTGTATAATTCCCCATAAAACCACTAACTGCTATAACTTTTATGCATTTTTAAAATAACTCTTATTGCTAAGCCAGGGGCTAGGTTTTAGATAAGACAAAACAGTTCTATATTCAGAATTCTGCTGAATCAAAATTAACCTGAGAAAAGTTTTCAACTAAAAACAATATTGATGTCAATTTTCGTATCTGTTAAACTTTAAAAAAAAAATCTTATGTCTAAAGCATACAGAAGAATTCAATAATTATATCTAACAATATATCTATAAGGTTATATACAGGCAGCCTATACAGTCAGTATTCAGCACACAGTTTGAATTAGTTGCCCACATTTTAAAGATAGAAAAATTTCATATAAAATTCATATTTGGGTTTCTCCTTGAAAAAAGCAACTCCAGCTACATGTGGCCTGCATTTGCTAAACACAGCTAGAACAAGCTGTATGCCTCTGAGGTCAAGTTTGTCTACTCCAGTTTGCCGAAGTCCTCATCCACACCATACTGTTGACTCAACAATGAGACCAACAGCATAGTGTTCTGCTGAACTTATTTCTTAACAGTTGTTAGGAGAAAATGAAATCAAAGTATTTCCACTAAAGACTTATTTTATAAAAAATGACCCAGAAAGACTTTGTTTTATAAAAATAGGAGAGAACATATGTAATTATGCAGGTAAAGAACCAATGTGTTTAATATATTAAGAATGTAGTACATATATAAAGATACCATAATTCAACTAAACTAATACCATAATTCAATTCAAATACTTAGTTTACACACTTGGCCAGGAGAGATATTTGGGCTTGAAGCCTCTGCTCTCGCGGGCACAATGGACCTGGACAGCTATTTCCTAATATGGCAGAGAGAATTCAAATATATAATGAATAGCACTTCACCTGATGATCTCTTAGGTCAATTCTCCTGAGAGTCCATGGAGACATACAAATTGCATGAATTAGTACTTGGTTCTTATAGTACTATAATTTTCCTTTGTAAAGTTATTTGAAATTACAGATGGTCCCTGACTTATGACGGTTCACCTTGCAATTTTTTAACCTTACAACGGTGCCAAAGTGTACATATTCAGTAGAAATTGTACTCAAATTTTGATTTTTTATCTTTTGGTGGGGCGGTGCTACACAACACAAAGCTCTCTCATGACGCTGACCAAGCACAGTGAACCACAGCTCTCAGTCAACCATGCGGTCATGAGGGTAAACAACTGATACACCAACAACCATTCTGTGCCCATACAACCATTCTGTCTTTCACTTTGACTATCATATTCAATAAATCACAAAGGACAATTCTGTCCAACTGTAGACAATTCAAGTGTTCCGAGCACACTGAAGGTAGGGTTGGCTAAACTATGATATTCAGTAGTTAGGTGTATTAAATGCATTTCTGACTTACAATATTTTCGACTTAAAATGAATGGCTTTATCGGGACATAACTCCAATGTAAGTCAAGGAAGATCTGTATATATATATATATATATATATATATATATATATATATATATACATACATACACACACACACACACATATATGTGTGTGTGTGTGTTTTATTATTATGATAGTATCACTATCAGCTCCCTGATCTGTAAGATCTTTATGGGGAAGAGCTATATATGTGTTTCTCACCAATCCATTGCTCCTACAGAGTAGAGAGTCAGTAACATTTGTTGAACAGGTGAACAGAAGGAAACATCCCAAAGGACAAATAAATTTATAGGGGAAGAAATAAGTGAGGAACACTAACAGGAAAGACCAAGAATAAAGGCTATTGAAGGCAAAAGGAAAAAAGAGGAATTTCTTTTTTTTTTTTTAAGATTTTATTTATTTATTTGACAGAGAGAGAGAGATCACAAGTAGGCAGAGAGGCAAGCAGAGAGAGAGGGAGGGGGAAGCAGGCTCCCTGCCGAGCAGAGAGCCTGATGTGGGGCTCCATCCCAGGACCCTGAGACCATGACCTGAGCCGAAGACAGAGGTTTAACCCACTGAGCCACCCAGGTGCCCCAAAAGAGGAATTTCTTATTCAACTAGAAATTGGCAAAGATGAATGAATAATCAATCTGGAAGCAAATAAGCAAAAATACTTACTAATGGCCCATTTATAATTAGCAAGCTAGATTCTTTACAGAACTAAATGCTTTTCCATGACCTGATAAAGTATTATGCCAAAGAGTGTCACATGTGAGAAAAATAAAACAGATCAAACTAATCAATGCCATGTACTACAATAAATTTTACATTTGAAAAGCACTGATCATGTAGTGATAAGTACAAAAATATTAGTAGCTGCAAGGTAATAGCATAAGAACTAGAGCTCTGGGAGACAAACTACTGAGCTCAAACTTTGGCCCTATATTACACTAACTTTGTAAACCTAGAAAAGCAACCTCTCCACACTTTAAATTCCTTATGTGTGAAATGAAGATCACATTACTTTTCTCATTGGATCACTGTAAAACTAAATGAAGAATATACATGAAGCACTTCGAGGTGCTTGGATCATGAGCACTTCATGTTAGCAGTGATGATGACTCGACCATGACAGAATCGATGACAACCAACATCCTTATGCTGCAATTCATTGTCTTGCTCTACAGAGAAGACTGTGTAAATGAGAATGTGTTAGTCTGCTCAGGTTACTAGAACAGAATACCACGGACTGGGTGGCTTAAAATATAGAAATTTGTTTTCTCACAGTCTGGAAGCTAAAGTCCAAAATCAAGATGCCAGCAGGATTGGTCTCTGATGAGACCTCTTTTACTAATTTGCAGATGGCCGTCTTCTTGCAGTGTCCTTACATGGCCTTTTCTCTGTGCACATACTTCCCTGCTATCTTCTGCTTCTTATCCTTGTAAGATAAGTCTATTTGATCAGGGTCCCATTCTATGATTTCATTTAACCTTAATTATCTCCTTAGAGTCCCTTTCTCCAAATACAGTCGCTTGTAGGTTATGGCTTCAACATATGAGTTCGGGAGGCACACAATTCAGTCCGTAACAGAGAATACTTTTAAATAAATATTTATTACTTTACATGTAAAATTCTCCTTATCTGTCACATTGGAAGAAGTGAGGCTTAAGTTAACATTACATTGAATTTATATAAAATTTCATAAATTTGTGCAAAATGTCACCTAAACCCAATATAGTTAAATGTCAAAATAAGGATAATGCATGTAAACTACTACTATATGCTTGAAAAAACATATTTCCTCTATAATGGAAAAGTTAGAATGTGTTTACCATACTAATAGCAAAAACTGTGCAATGATAAAGATAACATTGGCTAAAATTATTTTAATCACATTACAGAATTTATTTTAACTACGTATTGTAGTTATTAACTTATTCAATGCATTATATTTTTATTTGACCAATAAAAACTTATTCACCATAACCAACTCTATTAAATATATTAGCAAAATAAGATATATATACATATATATATAGCAAAATAAAATAACTCTTTTACCTGTTGGAAAACATCTGTCCCCTCATCATAGTCCACCATACTGAAGAAGAGTTTGTTGCAAAAGGCAGACGAGTAGCGCCAGGAGTTAGCCAGTATTTGATATTCTTCATTAGCTTGCCTGATGAGGAGAACCGGGCAGAGTTAAGACATATCAGCAGTCCAGGGTAAACAAAGCTGTTAATGAAACAGGTAATTCTAACACCGGGGTTGGCTAATCTGGCTACTTTCTGTACAGACTGCAAGCCCTGATCTTATGTTTTCACATAGTTGTAACAAAAGATTCTATCACATGTAAAAATTATTTAAGATTCGTATTTTGTTGTTCATAAAGCTTTACTGAGCCCCAGCCGCACTGATCCATTTGCACTGCTGTGACTGCTACTGTACTATGTATAGGCAGAGTCGAACGGTTGCAATGGCAAGTGTGTGGGCCAAAAGTCTGGCATGGCCCTTTAAATAATCAACAACTCTAACTCCAGGGTTTGTAGCATCCCCTAAACCTATAATTTCAATCTTCAGATGATTTTTAGTAAAGGACATAAAGCAATTTTTAAGAGTATAGGCAATTCTGTTTAACAGAGAACAAAAATAATAGGCATTTTTAAAATTATAAATGCATTATATAACATCTTTACATATTTCATTTATCTAAAAGTGCATTTACATTCAAAGTTACTAAAGTAATCAGTAAAAGTAAGTAAAAATTCCCTTCATAGTTAAACCACATGCCACAAATAAGCCCTCCTCTATGAACATTATTCACTCCTATTTTGAATTTCTATTGGATATTTTATTGATTTTCCAAATGATAAAGCTTTATTTAAGTGTAGGGTTGGAGTAGAAACAGATATATGGCATTACTAGAAGGATGTTAAGTATAGTTATAGAAACAAGAGGCAACAGGTGATCATTAAAACACGTTTTTATAAAGTGTGTTACCTCCATATAACTGAGAAAGGAGTTTATTTCCTCCCTCGCCCAAAATGGAAGATATAAAAATGTACAGCCTCCTAATAACACAAAGACTTGGAGTAGAGTCAGCAGCAGATAGGAGATTTGAAGAAATACCTGGAAAACAGAAAGCTAGTGGAGAAGTTTTGATGGCGGAAGGTACGATCACAAAGGGAGACTGCAGTGCGGGGAAAGAGTTGGGAAAGATGCTGGATGAAGAAGCAGCAGGGTCTGGAGATAAGAAATGGAGTTCAGAGATCATAATTAAATTTCTTTATATGGAATAGAAGATCCAACCTCCTGCACCACTCCCAACCAGTTCCTATGTTAGTGTTTCTATAGCTAAATGACTGGATTATTTAAAAAAAAAAAAAAAAAAAAAATCACCTTTAGTGATTGAGGAAAACACAACATGATTAAAAAAAAAAACAAAACAAAACAAAAAAAGGAGAAAATCCCAAACAAAACCACCTTCAGAAGAAACATAATTTAAAGTAGTTCAAAAACATTAAAAAGAAACTTTAATATACTCAGAAAAAGTGAGAAGAATTTGTCAAGAACTGCGCAGAGGATGAGATTTTATCTTACACAGAAGCTAACAAGCTGCCCTGTTACTGTTTCATAGAAGCTGGCAGAAAAGATGAGATGCTGGGTCATTGCCAAAGGACTTTATTACTTCATGTTCATTCACATCCGTTACCCCTGCCCCCAAGTCTCACGGGTGACACAATGGGTCCTTCGTGAATGCCAGTACACACAGTTGACTGGGTTACAAGAGGGGAACACCGAGTTTGAGGGACTTACTGTTTCTGTAATAAGTGAGATAAAGCCTGTGCTTGGCTCAGTGGGGGACACTATTTCATTCCTTAAGGCTTCTCATTGCACATACCCCTTGAGCAACTGCCCAGGTAAAGAGCAGTCAGGCCTCTGCCTTCTTGGCAAAACAAGTAAGAACTTGCAGGGATGCTCAGGGCCCATGACAGCCTGCTTCTTCCTGCAGTAATTCACATACACACACAACATCATAGAAAAAAGGAACAAAGAAAGTAAAAGAGAGCACTTAAAATTTAAAATAGGATTGTTGAAATTAAATACCAATATTAGAAGATAGTGTTAAATAAAATTTACAGAATAAAAAAGACACAGGTGGACTATAATGGAAAAAAAGAGGGAGAAAGGGACATACAGATATAATCCAAAAATTCCAACTTCCAGAGAAGACCCAGAAATACAAGAGAGAATAGAGGAAATATTTCTGGAAACATAATACAATGAAAGGAGACTAAGTCTTCAAATTACAATATTACCCAGATTTTAAGTAAGAAAAACAGGAAAAGACCCAATACCAGACATATTGTGATAGTTCAGATTATTATAGATAAAAAGAATGTCAGAGGAAAAAATATGTAACAGTGACAATGAGATTGGGACTGGACAGGTAATTACCAGCACTGGATATTGGCAGATAACTGACAATGACAGATAACTAAACAAGTAAGTTTGAAACAAACATATTCTCAGAAATGTAATGAATATGAAATTACCCTAGGATTTAACAGAAAGAAAGGTAATTTTGAAGGAGAAAAATGAGAAAACTTGGGAGTATGATAGAAACGCTACAAGAAAGGGAAAAGGGCAACTAGAATCATGGTTAAGGTAGGCAGGTTAGAAGATGTGTAAGAAAACTGTGATCCAACTAAGAAGTTATAAGGTGCAAATTAGAATAGAAATCTAATTGGACTTTAAGATAAGAAGATTCTAAGCAATTATTAGAATCAGTAAAAGTTGGAAGATACTAAGACCATATTACGTAAGACATATTTGGTCCAGGAAAAACTATAAAAAAAAAAGAATATTTAAGATGTAAATTAAAATGTATCATAACATTGGGGCATCAGTCGTTAAGCATCTGCCTTCAGCTCAGGTCACGGTACTCGGGTCCCGGGATGGAGCCCTACATCATCAAGCTCCTGGCGCAGCGGGGAGCCTGCTTCTCCCTCTCCCACGTCCCCTGGTTGTGTTCCCTCCCTCACTGTGTCTCTGTCAAATAAATAAATAAAATCTTTTTTAAAAAATGTATCATAATTTTGGTGAATTGGAAATGAGAAAGGTTCATTATTTTGAACAGTATGGAAGGTAAATGCTATCAACTCTTGACACCGTCAAAGTATAATTAACAGGGTCTGGTAGGCAAAAGAGGAGGGGAAGAAGTGAGAACAAAGTGTGCGCTTCCTAATCTTCATGTGACCAATTAGGGAATAAAAGAAGTGATCTATAGCTAATGACAAGAAATAGAAGGATGCTATTTACTGTTACAATAATAAAAGAACTAGGAAGCTATACAAATAAGGAGAGCTGAATTAAATACTTACCTATCATAGAAAGAAACATCAAGATCAAGTCTGCTTTATGAAATATTGTTATAAGAGTAACATTTAGAAATATGAAGAAAAAAAATCACCAGAGGAAGAAAATACAAAGGAATAATATGATTGCCTATGGCCAAGTATACAAAGAGAGGAGTGTGAAGGCTAAGGAGTGTAGTTGTTCATTTTAGACTTTTTGTTTTCTTATTAACAAGGAGCACATAATATTGCTGTGATTAATATATATATATATTTAAAAGGGTAAAATACAAACAGGGCTATAATCTGAGGTCATTTAGCATAAAGACCCTAAGGGCATCATTTTTTTGGACCATAATATAAAAACAGATCATTGTAAGGATCCGCTTAAGACTGCATTGTGCTTGGGGTACCTGGGTGGCTCAGTGGGTTAAAACCTCTGCCTTCGGCTCAGGTCATGATCCCAGAGATCCGTGTACAGTATCTTATAGAATGATGTAGCATAGCAATAATGTTGAATTTCTTTCCCTCATAATGCTGTAACTAGACCAGGCCTACTACAGTCTACCAAGTATTCATTCATTCATGCAGGCATTACTTCACTCCACAAATACGCAGTACGGCCACCAAAAATTAAAAAGGAGCAAGGGCTCTGATCTTAAGGAGAATACAGTCCAGTGAGAGAGGCCTCATACAAGTATATCCAACATTTCAAATAATCATAAGTCCTCTGAAGAAAATAAAATAAGAAAATGTGACAAAGAGTATTGAGGAGTCAAAGAGGATGAATTAATTTTGCCTTCAGACTATTTATTCCATATCACCCCACTTTTTCAGCTGAAGTTCCCAACTAGCAATTGTAGATTCTATCCTGTGTTCCAAAGCCGGAGTTTCCCACTGCCTATATAAAAGACAATGGGCAGAACAGAAGGCAAGATCATCCGTACACCAGCCACAACTTAGATCTCTGACCAATACTATATGACCGTATCACACTTAAAGGCTGTTTTATGATGTCCCATGTTCATTCTTGGAGTTTAAATCCTTTGCTTAGAATGTCCTCCCTCTTTCAAAAGTTTGCTCGAAAACTTCCTCTCCTTCAGAAGTCACTTCAAATCTCTATACCTAAAATATTTGCTAAGGCAACTGCCTGAAATAGAACTTCTCAGCTAATGTATATTACTATTTGCTTTTTCCATATATCTGGTCCATTTATGCATGTTGTATTTATCCGCTGACTATTCATTCAATGGATAGGACCTAGTACAGCATGGGCACTTAACTAAGGTTTGATGATGGTAATAATAATATAATTTCCTAAAAAGTCAATATAGCATATATACCCTAAAACTAAATATCACTACATTAGTAATTCTGAATTCCATAACTGAGTCAGATGTACATTATAGGTTAATGTCTTGTACATTACAGGTTAGTGTCTCTTTTAAGGCCAATTTACTTTACTCTACTGGTTGTCTTGGGAAGAAAAGAAAGAAATATTTTAAATCTATTTACCATCCCAAATACATGCTATTTGCCAAAGGAATAGTAGGCACGACTTGAAAGGCTATAACGACTAAATTGTCAATCTAACATCATCTAATATAATGACTAAATCATCATCTAACATCATCTAAAACCTCATCTAACATAATCCATAACATCAATTCATATGCAAATATGGAACCCAGAAATTAATCATCAATGATGTTTATTCAGCATTTTAGTGTGTGCTACAATAATAAAGAATTATAACTCATAATCTCTACCTTTAAGAGGCTTCTAAGAAAAATGAATAGAAATGCACTAAAGGTCCATTTAT